AAAGTCTTTGACTGACTTCCACATTTGTGGCCACCAAAAATCTCTTGATATGAGTTCCAAAGTCTTATTATATCCAAAGTGCCCTGCTATTGGAAAGTCATGACGTGCTTGAAGAACACGTAAACGTGCTTCTCCTTCTGGAACATATAGGCGTCCTTCAAAATATAATAGATTATTCTTGAACTCGAACTTAGAAGGATCATGAGACTTGGAAGAATTATTCTCGATATCATAAACAAGAGGGTCTGAGGACATACTGGACTGGATTTGCTTGAGAAAAGTTGAATCAACAGTCAATGTTGATTTCATTGCTCGGAGATGAAATTGCTCCGGTTTCAAGAGGACCGTTCTTTGTTGCTCAAAAGCTGCATCTCTTTCTTTTGGTGCAAAATAAGAACGTCTAGATAGGGCATCGGACAAACCTTGTTGTTTTCCTGGCCGATAAGTGATAATGAACTCGAATCTTGACAAAGACATACTCTAACGAGCTTGACGCCGGTTCAACACGCGTGCTGCCATGAAATACTCGAGGTTCTTGTGATCTGTATACACAGTGACTGGACTAGAAGCGCCTTCTAGATAATGACGCCATTCTTGAAAGGAAGCCACGATCGCAAGAAGTTCTTTATCGTGGATCTCATAATTGATCTCGGCTGCTGAGAATTTTCTTGAATGAAAAGCTATCGGATGAAGTTTGTCATCTGATCCCATTTGTGATAAAACTGCACCTAAGGCAAAATCTGATGCATCTGTTTCCATAAAAAATGCCTTGGAAAAGTCAACACGATATAAGACTGGTGCAAAGACAAACGATGTCTTCAAGGCTTCAAATGCTGCTTCCGCTTCTTGATTCCATTGAAATTTATCTTTACTAGTCAAGCGTGTAAGTGGAGCTGCAACTCGTGAGAAATCTTTGATGAAGATCCGATAGTAATTCGCAAATCCCAAGAAACATTGAACATCTCTTACTGTCCTTGGAATCTTCCAATCCACGATTGTTTGGACTTTCTTAGAATCCATCATGAGACCATCATTTGAAATGATGTATCCTAAAAAGTCAACTTGAGTAGTGTGAAATACACACTTTTCTATCTTGGCATAGAATCCTGCATCTCTAAGTTTTTGTAATACTTGACGAACATGTATTTCATGTTCTTCAACGTTCTTAGAATAGATCAGGATATCGTCTAGATAGCAGACGACAAAATTGTCTAAGAATTCACAAAATACATCATTCATGAGATGTTGAAAAGCAGCTGGTGCATTCGTGAGTCCAAAGGGCATGACATTATATTCGAAATGTCCATACCTGGTTCGAAACGCAGTCTTCCATTCATCTCCTTCTTTGATCCGTACTAGATTATATGCTCTTCTTAGATCTATTTTTGTATAGATCTTAGCTTGATTCAACTGGTCAAGGAGTCCTGATATCAAAGGTAATGGATACATGTTCTTGATTGTGATCTTGTTGAGTCCTCGATAATCAACACACATTCGTAAAGATCCATCTTTTTTCTTTACGAATAGAATTGGAGCTCCTGTTGGAGATTTTGAATGGCGTATGAAATTCTTCGCTAAATTCTCGTCAATATATGTCTTGAGTTCAGCCATCTCATCTTGCGATAAACTGTAAATTGGTCCAAATGGTTGCTGAGTTCCTTCCTTGAGGTCGATTGAACAATCATATGGGCGATGCTCAAGAAGAATATCTGCATTCTTTTTCTCAAAAACGTCTTGATACTCCTGATATTGACTTGGAATGTCACTTGAAGTCTTTACGTTTTCAGAAATAGGTGCAGCATAAATAGCAAAAGTTGATCCTTCTTTTGTTGCGTGTATAAATGCTTTTGCACCTATCAGTACGGGTTTTACTATACTAAACTTATAATTTTTTACTTGGTTGGTAGAACTATTAATAACGCTTTTGGAAAAGTCAAGTTTACGCAAATTCCAATCTATTCGAGGGTTATATTTTTCTAGCCAGGATAAACCTAAAATAACTGGATTGGACGGGGATTTAATTATGTTAAAAGCTATGTAGCTATCATGACCGTCTATTGTTACTTTTATAGGATGAGTTTCATGAGTGACATCTCCAGAAGACAAGGGACGACCATCTATGACTTCTACATGTACTGGTTTAGGTTTCTGTACAATAGGTATTTTACGACTTTTAACAAATTGTTCATCTAAAAAACATGCTGAGGCTCCCGAATCTAATAAAGCAGAGGCTTTGTAATTCTTAGGTCCTAAATATAAGTCTATTATAAAACAAGGAGAGGGTTCTGAGGAGAGGATAGGACCTTCATTAGGAATTGTACAAGGTTCCAGCTGCACGGTCCCTATTGTAGCTGGACGAATCCGTTTTCCGACATGTTGTCTTCTTTGACCGTCGTACCCCTCATTTTATAGTTGCGTCGTTTCTTTGGACAATGTTGAGCAGTGTGCTTAGGTTCTTCGCAATATAAACATAATCCTTCTTGACGACGACGAATCTTTTCTTGCTCAGTTAGGGATTTAAAATGTACCGCGTCAATTTGCATGTCTTCTACTTTCGAATGTACGTTTGGCAAAGATGTTGATGTTGCCATTGAGTAATAACGTTGAGGATCCCGTGAATGATTCTCGGATCGAAATTCGAAAAGTCGATTATCACATTTTACCGCAAAATCGATTGCTTGACTCAAAGTTTGAGGATCAGGTAAGTTGAGCATCAATTTCTTTACTTTGTATTGCAATCCATAAAGAAATTGACTGATGAGTGCAGCATCATCCCACTTGATGTCAATTGCAAGTTGTTGAAATTGTGAAGCACATACTGTTACTGAGCGATTTCCTTGTCGCAGAATTCGGATCTTATTTGTTGCAACACGAGTTGCATCGTGTTCACCATACATAGATCGAAACTCCGCCAAAAAAGCTTCCAAATTGTCCAATATTGGATTTCGTTGTTCAAGAAAAGACGAAAACCACGATAATGCAGAACCAAAAAGTAGAGTGCCAATAAACCTGACTTGTGATCCTGGAGTTGGATAGCTTTGCAGTTGAAGTTCAATTGCCAATTGTACTTGATTGATGAACCCTCGAAACTTTGATCTCGTACCCTCAAATTTCTCGGGTAAGGCAATTCTTGGTTCTCTAGTGCTTACAGGTCGTTGTACAATTAGAGAAGGAAATTGATTTGTTGTAGATGTTAAGCAGCTCCGATCATCTCTATATCTCGACTTTCTGCTATTCTTGTTCTTTCCTGTGTTGGTGAATTGAGTTGATGCATTGCAAGCATTAACTCCCTCATTTGCTCTTGCATTTGTGCCATTGCACTCTTCATTTCAATAAGCTCTGCCATAATAACACTAAGAAGAAAAATTTGTTTGATACTGCTCAAGACAAAAGAAAAGAAAGACTTGATAACAAAGAAGATACTAAGAACAATATCAGTTTAGAAGTGGGTAATCCGCAAACTTCCAATATGCTTATGTCTTGTCAAGAGAAAGGGGTAATCCACTCTTACTCAAGAAAAAACAAAGCTCTTATATTGTAAATGCACTCTTGTCAATCTGTCAAGGACAAGAACTCGATGAAAAACAATTCAGACAAGCGAGCCTTCACTCAAAGAGAGGTAACAAAATATATATAAATAAGTATATATATTGAAATAGAAACTGGAATGGCTATTGCCAAAAGACAAGAAAACTAGAGACCCTTGAAACTAGACTAGAAGCAAGAAAGGAGTTGACAAGAGTGAAGAAGCCTTCACTCTTGTCTCTATATATACTATCTAATTAGGAGCTACGTGGCAACGTTGTATAGGACCTCCAATATGTGTTGACTTTGTAGGACACATGCCTTGACTTACAAGGCAAGTTTTTCTACGTGTGGGCCACATAATTAGCTTGATCTTCAAGCTAACAACATGTGTGGCACATGGCCAACTTGTTGACCACGTTTCTAATCCAAAAAGTCAATTAAAGACACCTATGAAGTCAAAGCAGCGTCTAAGAAGTTTCTAAGAAGCTTCTATATTAAATATTATAGAATTAACTTACTTTTATCTACTTTTACTTACTTCTACCTATTTCTATATGTAATTATTAGCTTACATGATTATGGCCGTGACATGTGAGGGAGTGGCATTGCAACACATGACCTCATTGTCACATTGCTCACCTACGTTAGCGTCTCCATTGTGCTGCTAGTGCCACACTAGCATGGCAATTTGATCCACATGAATATCATTTGTAATCTTGAAAATATCATAGAAATAATAATAAGAATAATCATATTATTGAAATCACTATTGAGATTATTATTTGTGTGGAAATATGTGGCTATCTATAGGTTTCATTGTAAAAAGTTTTGGTTTAGAATAAAGCAAAAAGTTGACCATGTGGTTTAAAAAATATTGACTAGTAGTATCTATATGATATTGAATGTGTACATGTAATGAAACATGCAATGAACAAAGGTTTGTTGTGAAAGAAATCACGTTCTATAGGTATCATTTCTAATTTTTGTACTTTGTATAATAAAGCAAGTGGTATGTTATTGAACCATAACCTGCCATATTCTTAAACCAAAATTTAAAGGTAAAAGAGATATTTATTTGAAATTAATAATTAAATTAGTGAACTAATCAAAGATTGCAATTGTAATACAACAGGAAACAATCTAGTCACATAACTACAAAATAATCTCTTAAAAAATCATATTGAACTAAAATTATCACATTTGGTCTTCATTAATATACACAATGGAACATTTCTAGAAGTTATTTCTTAGATAAGCTTAAACATTTTTTATTAAAAATAATTCAAAACTTGACTTGTATAGAATGATTGATGTTATTTAAACTTAATTAATTTAAAGCATCATATCAAAAATGACAAAATCAAGAATAAATATTATTATAATGAAAAAATATAAAATAATCAATAATATTTTTTGCTTAGTATATTGAATAATTTTAAATTAATTTCCACTAATGTGTTAGATTATTCAGATAAAACACGAACATATTTTAAATATCTTTATTGTTGCATTTTTATATTACAAAACGAGTTGAAGCTTTTCTGTAAAATTAACTTGATTAAAAAACTTATTGTTTACATGTACAGCATTACGTTCAATGTTGAATACCAAACTCGTTATTCACAAGAGTATGAACACAAAAACCTCAAAGAATTGTCAATCCCTCGACATCCCTCACTCCACTGCTTCTGCATGAGCATCTTCGCAGGCTGGATCTGCTAGAGTAGCAGCCTCCTCGGCTGCAGACATCAGTGCAGACATTGTTCATCAACGTTTATGTTATAAGTTTCACAAATCGTTGTGGCTGATGAGCATCTGCAGTGCTTTCCCATCCAGACGGCGCTTCAAGTCGTCTCATTGAACGCTATTTTGTAATCTGCAGCATATCGCAGTTTTGGCTCAGGAAATCATGATGTATGCCTCTATTCCCTATCTCTACCATTTGTCTCTGCCATTAGCTCTGACGTCATGAATTGTTGAAGCTCATTCTTTACTCAAAAAGGTTCGATGAGCTGCACACCTTCGGACTTGGGCTCGTGAATGGCTCCAATCCCTAACCCACGCACTCTGCCTAAATCTTGTTCAAGTTATTCGAGCGATTACATTCTTACTACTCTGTTCTGTGAACTCGAACAGTAACGGAAGATCACTTACAGCGAAACTGACAAGCTGGATTGACTTTCATGTGCAACGGAGAGTACAAATTCATCACTTGTAATCTCCTCTGAGTTGTTAATTGGCCTTAGAAAACATAATCGAATCCTAACCACTCTTGAGGTTATTCCACCTTGGATAATCAGTGCACTTATAGCCTTCAGAATGAGACTCTAAAATCAAACCCTACATGATGTTTTACCTGATGACGAAGTCGAGCAAGAACATATTTATGCAGTACCACAAACCACACAACACTCACAGTTCAAGTTGAAAACAACAGCAGTTACGACCAGGTCACACCTTGTTCCGAATACGGAACCCGACAGTGATCCGCATCGATGAGCGCAGAGGTGCTTAGCCATGAAACGTAGTGCCAAGCATAGACTGAAATTGCCATGAAGTACTTAGCTCCTTGAACACTTGCGAAGAGGTTCACTGCAACTGTGCATTCGTGTAGGTTTAATTGCAAGAGTTAAATTGCGTAAAGGTAACCACATCGTCTGCTGCTCCTGAATTATCACTCCTGTTGCAAGCAACTACACGATTTCGATTACAGGTGCCTGCTCCTGCAAGACTTTCGGTACCTAACTGCCCCCGTCAGCTGTTCTCGCTTGCTCTCTCTTTCTATCCCTCCATTGTTCTGTTTCAATTCCTGCAATCCACGAGTCAATCCCCCGCGACATGTCAACGCCCTCTTCGATATGTCAACGTCCTTCGGCAAATCCGCGGACCACGTGGAGTCTCTCGAAGCCGCCGCGAGGTTGTGACGTGGCTCGTTACCATTGGCTGCATAGCTGACGTGGAAGTGGATGGGTCTTGCATCCAAGTGGACGTCCAGTCAGCGCAAGGCACTGTATCTATTCCGTTTCGCCTCTGTCAAGCTACAGTGGGTGTGGATCATACTGTAGATCTGCCCTTCCCACTCAGTGTGAGGAAAATGGACCTATGACCATGTGCCTCGGTAACTACACACATCCCTTAGTGCCTTGGTGACCGGTCTACTACCCTCTGGCAACCGAACGATGAAGTCTGAAGGCATGAACTTCGAACTACTATCAGGTATCATAACACACTTTGAAGTGTCAAATCCAGACGCAGGATGTGAAGTGTAAGGCGAATTAAAAACAACCAACAATTCTAATCTGTTTATGTAAAATGTGTTGAGCTGACAAACCTTGAAAGCAAATTAAACCTACATTTCATTAAAAAAGTGCTAAAGTCAAGCATCTTACCATAGACTACTATGACATGGGGCCCTCTTTAAATAGTTCTATGGGACAACTTCAAGGCTCCACATCTTATTACTCTTAACAATTGATTAAAAACATGTGAAGTTGAGCAAAGAGGTGAAAATTGATACAAAAATGAACTATGATACTTTTCAAGATGTCAATAGAGATACCATATAAATAAAAAATAAAAAAACAAATCAATATAATAAAAATATAGATCAGAATTCAATCACGACCAGTTCTTGCAATACTTCAGGTAGGCATAATTTTATTACAATTCTCTTCATGCATTTCCTACTTCCTAATCACAACAAATTCAAGTTTGGAACTGAAATAATGTACAAAAATAAAACACAAATTCCACCTTATAAATGTCTAAATTTGTTCCTGGTAACAAACTCACTTCATTGATAATTTTATGCAGGTAATCACATACAATTCTGCTACATTGTGGTAAAAACTTTGGATTTATTATCTTCAAACATTCTGTCACTGTCATTGAGGCACACAGGAACAAAAGTTAATACTATAGAAATTCAATCATCTCGAATCAAAATATCTCACCAAATTTCTGATAAATTCTAACAATTTTGTAAACCTTTGGTAATCTCACAATGTACATGTGCATCTTTGGGAATATGTAAAACACAAATACCCACATACACATACTACTAAGACTAGTCATTACCAAAAATACACAAGAAAAATACATTTGGGCTTTTAATCCACATCAGTTTCCTGGTGAAATTATTATTGTTTGTAACACTTAGAAGCATTCCATCTATTTGATCATTTGATACACTGATTAGATGGTTTAGGTTATCAAAATCTCACCAAAACTCAAAAATCAATACCAAAATCAACATAGCTTCATTTGATCATTGCAAAATGTGTATACATACATGTAATAGAAATTTAGCATGTTTCCTTCTTGTAAAGAAAATGCAGCATCTATTTGCCACAATGCAAAAACTATTTGTACATCTAACAACTTTAGTTTGACACCCGTATTATCAGGATCAAAGCTCAGAATCACACATATTTTACATTTCAAAATAGTTTAACATTATCTCCTATAAAACCACATGACCAGTAAAAATTTACAAAACCATTGAGCTTACACAATTTCATCTTTGCCCACATGAACACTCAATACTTGTTTTGTGCACCATGTAAATAATACTAAACAATCATGTTTTTAGGTCACGCTCTCTCAGTATCTTATAAAAAGTGATAAAATATGCATTGTGAATATCTTCTGTCATCTCACCTCAAAAAAAAAAAAAAAAAAAAAAAAAAAAAATCATAAACAAGTATGCCCTGAAACAAGTTTCCAGAAACTATTTGTTAAGGTTCATGACATCAAAAACAAGAATCAAGTTATGGTCTTATTTGACTTCTTTTTGTTTAACACTACATTCACTTTACTGCATACTTTTAACCATCAACAGTCTCTTGACTGTGACATAAGAATATCACATTTTACATCACTACATCATTAGTATATCATAAGCACCAATTTGTGAGTAGTATGACATTGACAAGGATTAAAACTTGTTTATAAGTCCATTCAATTCAAAGTGTGCAAGGACAATTTAAAATACAACTTGATCTTTTTGTTATTTATTGCTCTTTCAAAGTATTGTTCTATAAAAAATAAAAAAATTAAACACACCCATGTAATTGACATACAAAGTATAAAGTTATCCAGTCAAACATAACCATTTTTCAAGCAAATCCAAGTTTTTGATGCATAAATTGAATGAATCATGACAATGTCAACAACATTCAATCATATTTTAATCAACATACTTACATGGTTATACACAATTAGGAGGAATATCTCTTCATTTCCATGAATTGTACTCATTGCTGACTGTTTTTACAAATGATTCAAACAAAAACATTTGGTTGTTTGTGTTATCACTACTGTTCATGATTTCATTGCAACATCTCATACTTTGATGCTCATGGTAATTTCAATGCAATGTTTTATTAGAATGATACCAAAAGTAACCTAGGCTGTGGAATGCCTTTGAAGAAGTGTCTAAACTCCAAATTAAATGAAAGACCTTAACATTCTAACTTGGTCAAGACTATGCACATCAAATCAACAAAATTGTGAATGTTTTGCTTCATGAAACTTTCAAAAAACATATGCATATATACAATCATTGTTCAAGAAAATGATGATTTCTTTTGCAACTGAAAATGATCACAGTAAGTAGTGTATATGCCTTTTAAAGTATTTACCAAACATCCATAGTGATCTATTGACTTTAACATGAAACTTGTCAAAACTAAGTGCAAAATAGCTCAAAACAAAGCAATATCAAAGAATTGAAGAATTAATAAATGCAAACATAGTGAGAAATGTGGTTCAAAGCATGTGTTGTTAAAGCATCCACTATTTACATATCTTTTTGATACATTTTGATCAAACTAGCTTTAATTATTCTTGTGCATACATATTGTTTAAACACAGTCCATAATACCATTATTTTTGTTCTCTTACACTATTTACATCCCCAACCCAAGGTGTGAGTGTCTTTGAACAATGTGGAATTTGGGGTGGCAAGTGTGAATGTTGGATTGGGGAAGAATATAATGGAAACAAATGTTGTTTGATTGTTTTGGAGTGTATGTACATTGGGAGTGGTTTCCATGTGTCAAAAGACACCTGGAGCTAGAAGAGAAAAGGAGAATAAAAGGAGGTTCAAAAAGCAACACAAGCAAGGAGGAGAATGCAAATGGGAAAAAGCCATGTCATGTGATAGTGTAACTTAGAAGCAGGGAATAATGGGAGGGAGCGTTTGCTTTTGTCGTGGCTTTGGCTTGGGCTTGGGCAAGAAGGATAACATGCTATGCTATGCTATGCTGCAGCCAGCAGGGGGAAGGGATATCAGGGGAGCTGAGAGCAGCAAAAGGAGAGGAATTGTGTTTCTGGGAGCTTCTAGCTTGCTAAGCTTGGCCTAGCCCAGTGGGGTGGAGAGGTGGAAGAAGGCTGGGGTCGCCAAAGCATGCCACGCCAAAGCCTGCCACCAAATCTTCTTCTACCCAGCTCTTTTGTTACTCCTCCTCCTCCTACGACTCGACGATACGATACCCTCTCGTTTTCTATTTTTCCTTTTCGTGTTTTCCCCAGTTTTCCATTCGTAAGTGGCATGTTGACGTGTTTCGAGGATTCGGTTGCGCCGTGACGAGGAGTCGAGGCTGAATTGTCGAGTTGCAAGCGTCCTGCCATCGCTCGACCACCACAAAGTGAGAATAGCTTTACCGTTGGCCCATTTTTCCCCTTTCTTTTCCCTCTCCTCACCCCCTCCCCCCCCCCCCCCCCACGGTTTCCGCCCTTTCACCACTGCCTTCCTGCATTCTTCAATTCTCACGTCACGCTCTCTCGGTCGCCCGCTATTTCGCATTGTTGCCACCACCGTGACCTAAGCTGAGCTTTCGGGTTGCGAGCGACGCTGTTAGTTGCCGGTGCCGCTCGGGAGGATTGCGCGCTAGAGCTCGGGTCGTCAGGTGATGCCCGCCTCGCCTGTCTGTTCGATGCGTGCTTGTTTGGCGTTTCTCTGTTTGCTGAAGTCGGTGCGATCTGGATCTCGCGGAGTGCGTATTTGTTTAGTTGTTTTGTTTGTTTTGTTGTATTTTCGTATTGGCGTTCGGCGCGGCGAGTTCTTTTGGCAGGGATTGGGACTGAGGGGAGTGATGCTATTCGCGTTCTCTGAAGAGGTGTGGGAGGTTCGAGGGGTTTTGTCTGGTTTGTGGTGGTGCGCAGCGTCTTGGTGCGTGTGGGGGAGGTTCCATGTGTGCGCCGGGAGAGGAGGCACTTGGCTTGCGCGCAGTTCTTGGATAACGTGGTTATGCAGGTGGCTCAGGCTCGGGGGATATGCGGTTTGGGAAGAGCTTGGTGTGTAGGGAGTTCTTGAGAGGCTAGGTATTTTGCTGGCGAAGGATGTAGCGGTGAGACGAGAGTTATCCATGCAATGTCTGCGCAATGCAACTTGTTCTGCAACAGGAACGAGGTGCCGACCTACATAGCAATATTAGCACAACTCGATGATAGGCTGAATGTGCGAGTGATTGGAGGGTGCAATGTTCTTGCCGCTTGTTAGAAGTTCGAGATGCCTTCTTGGCGAGAAAGGCGTAATATCTTGTTCAAAACGCGCACGCTTGCTATTGCCTGCTGTACACGAGAGTCTCCAACTATGATGTGTCGGGTCGGGGTGTAGCCTTTTCGCAAGGCTTTCGATTCTGAGTCGGGATGGCACGCAGATATATATATATATATATATATATATATATATATATACGTTATTATTATTGTTATTTTAATATTCATAGTTTTTGAGCCGAACGATTCCTTGAGCCGACCACGCTGGTGTCGAGAACGTGAAATCTGACGTGAAGGACCGAACCTCACTGTTGATCATGTTGCCGCCTCCATTTTGATATTTTCGGTTGAAAATTTGACGGAAGCGCATGAGAGGGCGTTGTAGGTGGTCGAGTTCCGGGCATATGTTGATCACAATTGTCGTAGTGCAATCGCAGGTCGCTTCTGGCCGCATGTCACTCAATCCTGGCGAAGGGTGTCATTTAAGGGTTACGAGGTTAAGTTTCTGCGAAGGAAGAGTATAGTTTTTACGGAGAACGGGATCCAAGCTCATTAAGCGGGATATAAAACGTTTGTGTTCGTTGATGTTGTACCTTGGTCGGTTCTTTGTAGCTTGACGATGAGCGAGCTTGTGTGGGAAAGCATCCCGAGCCAAGGTCATGATGGCATGACTACGTTGCCGAAGTTGCTTCAGTGAAGTGCGAGCTTGAGCCTTGTCTTGGTTGCTTTTGGAGGGATTGAATTTGGCGTAGTATTTTAAATGGATTGAATCGGTAACTCAACTGGAACAAGGAGAAGCGAATCTCACACATCAAGGATTTGTGGTTCGATCTTGTGGTGTTCCTAGTTCATGTTAAGTTTTTCAGGGCGTTTCCGGCGCCTCGAATGCTCAAGCGTTGGCATTGAGGGAATCGGTAGCGTATGGACATGTGGCATGATAGTGTGTGATGACTCTGGACATGGCCGTGCCGCTGGAATTAACATCTACGTGACCCGGTTCTTACCGATTTTTGACATCCTGTGAAGTTGAGGTGGTTATGGAAGTTGCGTCTCCGCTCCATGTCGGAGCGTTGAACATGGCTATGGAGTTTTGAGGTCACTAATCAGAGTATGTGGTTGGATGCAGGGGGTGTGAAGTAGCTTTCTGTGGAAGCGCATTTTTCAGTTTAGCACTGGTTTTTGAAGGGAACGCTTTCTGTGTCGGTTGAAGATGGAGGAAATAACAGAAGGGGTGGCTGATATGAGCGTGTATGATGCGCACAAGAAGAACCGGATTCAAGTTTCGAACACCAAGAAACCATTATTCTTTTATGTCAACCTTGCGAAGGTAACCAGTTGACATCTTCGTTGTGTTTTTCCGACCGGTCTTTCACGGCCGGGGATGGCGTGGATCGATCGTATACTTTTTAGATTTGAGTAACCACGTCCCATTTTCACAGGCTCCCACCTCGGCATGTGATTCTGGTCCGTTTTGTCCACTGCT